GGCTGTGCCCTGGCGGGCACTGGCAGTGCTGGGATCCAGCAGCACCCACAGCTGGATCCTCTGCTGCTCCCCTCCCAGTCACGCAGCACAGGCAGTCCTTGCCCAATGAGACATCTGAAAACCTTCTCCAGCAAATTTGGGATGGACAACAGGATTTGGAGAGGAAAACACATCTGAAAGTGCCACAATTTCCCATGGAAAAGAAATTGCACTTTCTGAGCAATCTGAGTCAGCAGCCTGACCTTCCCTGCTCAGACCTTCTGATCCAAGCCCTCGGAGAGCAGTGATAAACATATGCACTGGCCAATTTGTTCAGTCTTTTGCATTTGTAGGACATTTTTGATGTGAAAAGGAGCTTAGCTTTACATTGGTATGACCTTGACGTGCTTAAAGTTAAGCTGCTCTTAAAGTGGGTACAGAATTGGGACCCCCACCATGTCCTGCCCCTGCTGCTGACGTCCCCCCAGCAAGAGAAGGAGGTCTGGCTGGTAATTGCATTTATTTGAGATGACAGCAAACCTTTGTCAACACCAGGTTTGTTTATGCTCACGGTAGGAGCAGCAGCAGATGCAGCACGTGGTGTTTTGCAGCCCCCTTGTCCGAGGCTGGGAAGTTGGAAGAAGGACAACAAACGTTTGCTGTTTCATCTCTGCAGTGGTTTTATGCAGATAAAAAGGTGTGTGGAGGGTGTGGGGATGCTCGTGGCCAGGGCAAAGGGATGCCTCAGGATCCAAGGCTTCTCCTGGGTGGATTTGCAGGCAGCTGGAGGGATGGATGCTCAGTGCTCAGCACTGTGGTGACAGGGCTCTCCAGGGCTCCCCTTTAAAGCAACATCATTATTTCAGAGACATGTACAAGGGTAAATTCCCCTTGAGCACAGTGTGTGAGGAAACTGGACCCATTGAAGGAGGGATTTGTCACCTTTGGAGGATCAGTGGTGCTGCAGATGCTCTTCCCACGCACAGATGTGAGGCTCCAGGCCTCTGCCCACCGAGCCCTGCCATCAGCAGCCATAGGCCTGCAGAGACAACTCCCCAGGCTCCGTTTATAATTCACTCTCTTTCATTTATATTCAAATCAGCAGATAAATGTAGGCAACGCGTGTGCTTCGGCTCAGGCAGGGCTGCCGTTCCAGAGCAACCACATAGAAGGTGCTTTATTTTTAAAACAGATGAAGAAAGAGATGGAGACACAGAGTTCTGCCCTCTAATTGTCATCTTCTCATTGGTAATGCTGGCCCGGTCATGGAAACAGAAAGATTTATAAAAATTATTTGTTTCCCAACACACATGCCATTTACTCTGCTCCAGCAGTGAAAATAAAGCCATGGCTTCTGCTTGTGCTTTAAGTCAGTTCCTGTGTCTTGTGCCTGATTATGCTGAGGTTTTTTGTACAGGTGCTCCTGAGGTTTTTTACTCTCAACCACTCTTTGTTTGATCACTAAAACAAATTTTAAATACATATATGGAATAAAGAAAATATTCATCGAGGAAGTGCAGCCTAAGGAATATTTGATATCCCTCAGATCAGGGAGAACCTGACAGGGCTCTGCAAAGGGAGTGGAGGGCACCTTGCTCAGGGGCCAGTCCTGCAAAGACCCACTGAGTCAGGCTCTTAAATGAAGGTGAAAAAGTTTCCAGCATCGTGTGCAGCTCAGACTCGCAGGCTGTGTGTCCTGAGAAAGCACATGGGATCTCACTAACAACCCTTTGCATTTAAAGAGCAGAATTTTGCCCTAAAAGACGATCCTGACGTGCTTGAAAGTGACAGTGCCCTTTTGCAGTGTGATTTTTAAGCAGCCGTGTGCTGACAGCTACATGTGTTGACCAGGCTGGACTTTGCCTTGTGCCTCAGTCCCTGAGGCAGAATTGGGCTGCCTCGTTGTTTCTGGGCTCTGCCAACCCCAGAGCACACGGGACTGTCAAAAACCACTTAATACACGTTGACTTAATGGGAGTTGTGCAGCAAAATGCTGCTGGGTGCTTTGAATGCCAAATCTGTGGAGAGGTTTCATTACTCCTGCATTGCAATTAATGATAATTAAAAAAAAAAGAAGTTTTTGTATCCAGAGTTATGCTGGATGTCAGAATTAACATCTCATTGAATTATCAAAGCTTTCAAGCAGTGGGTGGTGGAGAGTGGCTTGGGGCTTGCAAATAGGTCAGAGAAAGAGCTAGTTGCTACATATCTGATGGAAACTTTCCACTGGGGAAGAAAATCTTGCTGATTTGATGGAATAGGAACAATTCTGGGGAGGATGTCGATTCCTCTAAAACTTATGAAAGAAGCAGGCGTGGAGGCTGGGCTGCCTGCGTGCGACCTGGGATCTGTGTCAGCCTTCCATGTTCCTCAGGGATCCATCCTGCTCAGACGTGCATTTCTCACCTTTTTATTGCAAAATGAAAACACAGAAAGAAGGGAAGTGTGAACGTTTTGGTGGCGCGGTGCCAGCACAGGTCTGCTCTGTACCCTTGGTATCCCTGGATGAACGTCCTTGAAAGGAGCCAACAGTTTTCCAGGTGCCTGGATTTTTGGGTTCAGCCAGGGATGGTTTGTGTCAGGGCTGTGGAGCACTTGCAACTCTATCTGACATCAACAGGGGGAGCGGCAGGTCCTGTGGAACTGTCCCTGCACGGGGCCTGGGACACGCCATCCTCCATCCCCTTTGCCCAGGATCCCCCAACCCCTTTGCCCAGCATCCTCCATCCCCTTAACTCAGCATCCTTCATCCTCTTCACCCAGCATCCTCCATCCCTTTTGCCCAGCTTCCTCCATTCCCTTTGCCCAGCATCTCCTGTAGCCTTTCTCCAGCCTTCCACCCAGCCCTTGCTGGGCACACTGGCAGCCTGGGGGGCTACTGTGTTTTCCATCAAGGTGGGAATTCAGCCCTTGTGTTTTCCACCCCTGCTGCCACCAGGATGTGGCATCACTGTGAAGGCTCTGGGTTGTGTGTACCCACAGTGTGGTAAAGACAGCAAATTTTATTGCTGTGGCTCTTTATGATTGTCTTTGTAATGATAAGCCAGCACTGAAATCATACACCTGGGCAGAAGGAGCCTCTGGGTTTGTTTGTAATCCCACGTCCAAGTGGTGTCCAGTCCTCTTTCGTGGGTCCTGTTAGGATAAGGATGACCAAGGACATCTGACTCCAGCAGTGTCCTGTCTCCCTCCTGTGTCAGGGTGGCAGCACAAGGCCACCTGAGGATAAAGAGATGAAAGGCTGTGACATGCTTAACTGCTCCTCCCAAGCAGAAAGGGAGAATGTAATATTTTGGGAACCAGATGAGCAGATCTGGCAGCCTGTGCTGTGCAGGCTCTTGCAGGGAACAGCCCTGAGCCAGGAGTTGGGCTCAGGGTCCATCCTTTGGCTGCTGAGGCTGCACAGCTTTAACTTAAAACTAAGGAATTTCTTTGTTCCAGATAACTCTTTCCTTAATCGTTCCTCTGCTTGGCTCCTTCTTCCCATTTCCACAGACAATAACCTTGTGTGAAGTGCTGGAGGAGGCACTTGATCAGCAAACCCTCCTGCCTCCCTGCCAGCTGTATTCCCACTGATCAGAGGGACCCTCTGGTCCCGTGGGGAGCGACAGGCTGACGGCGATTATGAAAAGCAGATCTCAGAAGGGTTTGTCTCCGTGGGGGAAATGGCACAGCAGAGCTGCCGGGGAATAATAATTATATTATTATGCAGGAATAAAGTCCCATTTATTTCTGAGAAGGGGATGGGTATGGGGGAAGAGCAGTGAGTGATTGCAGAATAATTATCCCACAGCAGCTATGCTGGGCAGCGTTTCCCTTGTAGACAACCCCTAAATATTGTACTGGAGAAGGACTGGCAGCCTAGATCATGTGGTGGGTGAAGGTGGGGCTGTCTAATTCCAGAGAGACACTTGTCAGCATCCACTGGTTCCCGCAGGAACGAGAGATGATGCAAACACTCCCCTGGCAGTGCCACACACCTGCAGGGCAGGGCTGGGCAGCCAAGAGCCACCAAGCCCCCAGTGCTCTGAACCTTCCCACGGCGGGATGTGCAGGGACGCTGCTGCCCATCCCGCTCCTGCTGGCCCACCCAGCTGCTCCAGCACATCCCGGCGTGCAGCCACGTGCCTTTGTGTTGATCAGAGCAGCGTTTTCCTACCGCGCAGGGCTGGCAGCGCACTCCTGCCTCCTGCTCCAGCACGCGTGAACCAGCGATCACCCAGTTGGGTCCCATAAATAATTAATATCTGTGTCACTGTGCTTCCTCCCCCCGCCGCGCTGCGATCGCTCCTCCGGACCGGGGGGATTTGAACGCAAGGTCACTGCCCGGTGTCAGGCCCCAGCAGGACCACGGGCGGGGGGGGGGACCTGGGGGTTCCCCAGGTGTCATTGTCCTTAACTGGCTGATCCACCCCTGCGGGTGAGGAACAGCTCCAGCCCCGGCGACTGAGCAGCACAAAGGGGAACGGCCAACCGCAGGCTGGAGATGGGGGAGGCGGGCGGGGAGAATGGATGCATGGTGGCTGCGGGGCGGGCGTCGTGCCGAGAGGGGCGGTGACACCCCGCGACCCGCTGGAGCCGTCCAGGGACCTGGAGCATCCAGGGGCGCGGAGCATCGCTCAGGCTGGGATGGTCCTTGCTTGCCGGCAACACGCTTTGTGTCCCCGGCGCCTTCTCCGCTGCCTTCCAAAACTGAGGCGGGAGGGGAAATTTAATTTTTTTTAATAGGATATCTTTGCAAGTGAATAAAAATACCTTAAAAAATAAAAATTGTTAAAAAATAAAAATTAAAAACCAGAAAAATCTAAAAAAAATTAAAAAGGTATATGTTTTAAAATAGAACGTGTATATACATGTATATATACACGGCATAAGAAAGGAAGGTGTGTGCCGCCCCGCTCCCGGCGCCCGGCGGGGGCTCTGAGCGGTGTCCCGCTCCGCGCACCCCTCCCCCCTCACAACTGCCGCCCCCTCCCCTCCTCGCCCGCCCCTCCTCCCCGCCTCCGCCCTCTGATTGGAGCATGCGTAGCACGTCAGTTAGGGCGGGCGCGGCGCCGATTGGCTGGATGCGGCGCGGGGGAGGGGCGGCGCTGTCTAGCCGGGGCGCGCGGCGGCGGGAGCCGCCGGAGGGGCGCTGGGAGCGGGCGGCGGCGGGGCATGGCACGGCTAATGGCGGCGGGAGGAGCCGCCGCCGCTCCGGCGCCGCCGCCGCTGCTGCCTCCTCCGGCCCCGCCCGCGTCAGAATGAATGAGTGGATGGCGGAGCCCCGCAGCCGCACCATGAGCGCGCCGGCCCGAGACACGCGCTCGCCCTGCTGTGCCTCGCCCGCCCTCCTGGCCGCCGCCAGCCGCCTCCCGCACTGCCGCCTTCCAGCGCCGCGCCGCCCTCGGAGCCCGCGCAGCGGCAGCGGCGGCACTCCGCTGAAGAGCAGCCCGGGCACGCTGCCGCCCCGCACGGCCCGAGAGCACACCGCCGCCTGCGCCCGCCCGGGCAGCCCCTCGCCGCCGCCGCCGCCGCTCCGCGGAGGAGGGTGCGGGAGGAGGAGGAGGAGGCAGGCGGTGGCGGAGGAGGAAGAAGAGAAGGAGGAGGAGGCAGGGGACGGCAGGAGGAGGAGGCGGGCCGGGCAGCGGCCCCGAAAGGTGAGGCGGCCCACGCGTGTCCGTGGCGGGCGGGGGGGTGTCAGCGGGACTGGGCGCTGCTCCCCATCCTTCCGCCGGGCGGACAAAGGCGCGGCCGGGGACGGGGCGGCGGCCTCCCGGACCCCTCACGGTGCAGCGACCCGCGGGGGGACCCTCGGCGCCATCCCGCCCCGTGTGCCCGGCACACCCTCCCCGCCTTGGGGCTGGGTGCGGGGTTACCGACCCCGGGATGGGGTCTGGCAGGGCAGGTGTGTCATGCCCCTCCCGTGCCGAGGGCGTTACAGGTGTCACTGGTGGTTTTGGGGGAGCAGCGGGGCAGGTGCTGGTCCAGACTACCCAAAGCATCCTTCGCGGCAGCGGTCCCCGCTGTGCATTGTGCTCCCCGTGGAGGAGGTGAAGACACGTCCTTGCCATCACCGTTGTATCGGGGCAGTGCCCAACAAGGTGGGTGCTGGCCTTGAGCATCCCCCGGTGGGATCTTGGAGGTCAAGTAGCTCTGTGAGCATGAAGGCTTCCCGGTGTCCCACCTCCACGTGCCGGCAGCGGGGAGAGCGGGGTTAGCGATGACTTGGTGTCGCTGGAGCCCTTGTTCTTACCTGTGCCAGAAGGTATGTTTGCAGCTCAAACCCCACACTCCCGTGGTACCTGATGGGCGTGTGAGGGCAGGAAAGATCCATTGGTTCTTCTGTGCTGGGAGAAATGCATCTCAATAGGTCTCATCCTGACCCTGTTGTGTTCCGGGGCTTGTGCAGAGCTGAGGAAGGTGCTGTGACAATGGGAATAAATGGGAATAAATTATCAATGAAGAGTGTGAGGAGGGTAAAGGTAAGGGGTGGATGGGAGGGCTGAGCTCTCAGGTCACGCTCTCGCTGGGTGTCGGGCACTGACAGCGCTGGTCACTCCCAGGGAGATGGAAACACTGATGCTCTTCAAAGCTGAGACTGCAGTTTACCTATAGATTAAGCAGACAAAACTCTGCTGGAGTCCTTGTATGGAGCTTTGTTCACTTACTTTAGCAGAGAACTTGGCTTCGCTCTGCATTTCCAAAGCTTTGTGTTCAGACACATGCAAGTACTATAGTGCTGATCCTTTCCTATTTTGTATTTATTTTTTCTCTTCTCCTGGAATATGTTTGGTTTAAGTGCGTTGAGCTTCCTCTGATGTGAGAGGGATGCATTCTGCTCTTCTGGTAGCTCTAGGAGTCTGAACAAGTGGTTTAATCAACTTGTTTTATTTGGCTAGAAATAAAATCAGCTGAAGATCTGGAGTTGCTTGTTTTCAGCCTTTAATTCCTTTTTTTTTTCCATTGAGGTTTCTGTCTTTGCTTTTTCTGGAAGAAACAGAATGGCTTAAGATTAGGAGTTTCTGATAAAGGTAGGATGGGTTGAGTGCTCTTAAAGCAGAAGCAGTTTCCTCCGTTGTGCCACGATCAAACTGAGTCAACTGAACAACTCACTGGCATGTGCAGCACAGTGTGACCCTCTGGGTGCCAACCAGAGGGATGCACGTACCCACCCCAAGCTTCCTGGAGCACATTTCCCCCTCTGACCTCCTGTGTTGTGTTTGTTTCCATCAGTATCAGGTGGCATCGTCTCTCCCACCCCTGGGCTCCAATGGGTTTATTAAGAGCATCACTCTCATATGGGCCAAGTGACAAGTGCAACTATTGCAAGGCAGGAGGCGGCTGGTTTAGCAGTGGCTTGGGATGCTCCCAGATGCCCATGTGGGATGCTCACATAACATCCTTTGTCTTCTCCCATAGAAGCTGTCAGGGGTGCAAGCTGGGGGGGATTTTGTGTCTGTTCCTCATGCTGCCATGGGCACCCTCAGCCCTGTGTTTCAATTCTCCCTTGGGAAACGGGAGCACTGAGGATGAGCATTCCTCCCTGCCAGCCCTGGGTGTGCTGAGCTCGGGTTGTGGAGGCCAGCATCACCCTTTGAAGTTTTAAAGTGCTAATTATTACTGGCTACAGCCACTTGATCTCAGAATTGCTCTCTGGTGCCTTTACTCTGCAGTGCTGGCCAGGGTAGGAACACACGGGCAGATTATGTCTTCTCCAACAGCCCAGTTTGTTAGTCCTGAGTGTGACAGGTTGAGATTAGCCCTGACTGATGAAGGATTGCTGGTGTGCTCGTGGGCTGGGTGGAGTTTAGGGCATCTGTGGGGGGATGAGGCAGTGGAGGGAGGAGATGGCTTGGCAGCATCCCCCTGTGTGATGTGGGAGCCTGTGGAGGTGCCATGGGTGGGTGGTATGGCTGGGATCTGTGTGGGAGCTGGTCTCTGTGGGTTTTATGGGGCTTTTCTGTGCTGCCATGACTGCTGTGACACTGGAGTCCTGTGCAGAGGTTTGCTCTGAAAGGGCATTAAGCACTGAAGGTATAGCAAAGCCAGTGAACATAATGGGTTTATCTGAAACCCTCCTTTAGCTTTAATGCAAGCACGTTTTCAACATTACTTTTCCAATTCAGTAGATAATTAATGCATTATATGCTCTGTTGCATGAAACAAATGGGTCTTTTCTCATGCACATCATTAGAAAGGCTTCCCTTAATGCCCATGGTGTTATCACTGATAAGAAATGGGTGTGAGTCCTCACAGTCAGTGTTGTTCAGCACTACCAAGACTTCAAGTCTGACTTCAATGCATTTCTCATTCCTATTTAAGAAGCACTTCAGCTTTCACTGAGCTGCCTGTTTGCTCCACTCTCCTTCTCTTCTTCCCTTTCCCAGTTTCATGATGTTTATTTTTCTTTCCAAGCCTGTGATCTCGTTAAAATCCCGGATTTTGTTTTTAAGAGAAGTAAATTGCTAATCCCCGTGTTTGTGGAGACAAGCTTAGAAGTATCCCCTGCCTTATCACCAAAGCCTGCAACACCCGCCAGGGAGACTCTGCCTCTTCCTTTTATCCACAGCAGTCTCGTTTCAAGCAGAAGCTGGAGCTTTGCTGGGGAAGCTGTTTTGGGGATGGCTGTTGGGTGGGTGCTTGTTTTGGAGCAGAGATGTGGCTGCTGTGGCCAGTGTGGTTCTGGTTGGACTTTGCCTCCATTAAGAACAGAACTGCTCTATTCCACCCGTTCCTGTAGGGTGGTGTTGAGCACTGTGGGTCTCCTTGAAGGACGTTTTGTTCTGACTCTTTTTTTTCCAACCCCATGCACAGCAGATGAGTGGGCTGAAAAGCCCAAACCTCCTTTCACAGCCTGGGTCAGCACAGGAGTTGCACCCAAACCTTGGGTTTAGGCATCTTTAGACTGTACAAAATGTTTCAGATCCCAAAAGCTGTTGCCTTCTTTCCTCCCCGCGGTTTCTGTTGTGCTCCACCTGCCTTGCAGGGTCACCAGCTCTCAGAAATGATGCTGGGTCTGACTCCTCACCTCTGAACCTCATAGGAGGGGACAATGAGCAGTTTCTGCTGCAGCCACAGGGCAGGAAATGCAGATGGCCCGGTGGCTCAGAGCAGTTAAACCACGGGAAGGTGTCACATTTGCTACGGAAATGTGTGAAAGCTGAGTCAGGGTGTGCAGTGATGTCTGATGGGTCTCCAGCCTCTGGCATGGGGCCACCTCTTGCTGAGGTGCTGCAGCTCAGAAGGAGGGGGTGCAGCCAGAGCCCCCTCAATGGGTGGAGGCTGTGGCTTTGGGTGGGATTAGCTGATGGGTTTAGCGTGTAAAGAGGAGCCTGGCAAATCCTCGGGGGCGTTGGGGGTGACCTGGGTGACTGTCTGGGGCCAGGGGAGGTGTTGGGGCGAGGAGGGGACTGGGGAGTGCTGGCTTCAGCTCTTCATCATCCAGCTGGAGAGCTGGAGGGTTTGACTTTTGTGCAGGCACAGGACTGTGCACCCCATGTTTGCACAAGGTATAGGGGGACAGGTTTAGGGGGAGTTCTGCAGCACCAGCAGTACTGTTGTGGGGAAAAGACTTTGGTCCAAGCCATGGAGCCATCAGCAGCCAGACCCTGCCATGCTGGGGCTCTGTTCCTCGAGGGGTTGGGAGCTCTCAAATCCTGGTAGGACAGAAACAGCCAGCTTGCTGAAGGGCAGTTTCAGGGCATTGTGCCAGTGCTGGTCCCTTTTGTAGCTCTGGATGACTCTTTCCCTCTTCCCATTGAGCCATTACACCCTTTGGTAGAGGTCTTCCCACCCCTGTATGGGTTCATGCAGATACCTACCTGAATGCCCCTGGTCTGCCTCTGACCCCGTGGGAGACAATCTGAGGGAGCCAGAGGGATGAGCTGGAGCTTTCCTCCTGCTCATTGCTTGGGAAGGCAGCTTAAGCTTTCCTCGTTTGAGGGCTTGGGATTGTGTTCAATGTGTTTACTGAGATAACTTGTATTCAAGGTGTCAGCAGGATTTAAATTTATTTAAAGAAATGGAAATGAAGTTAAGGATGTGAAGGCTGAGGATAAGGAGGATGGTTCTTGTTCCTTGGGATGAGTACGGGAGCAGCCAGGGCAGAGAGCGGCTTTTTTCAATCAAGTAATAAACTGTGAGGTTTGTAGCTTTGAGCTTAAAATAAAGGGATGTTGCCCACAGCAGAAAATGTCACTCCTTGCCTCCACGCTCCCATCTGAGTCATTCTTGTATCAGATGCATCCAACTGTCCTGACTCAAGATTTTGAGATTCTGGGACTTAGCGATGCTCGTGAATATCAGGATATTTTTGGGAGGATCTACAGAACAACCAAGGTCTTGTTTGTTATCTTCTCTCTGCTGAGGTTTTGCTTTTTTTTTTAATTTTATTTTAAATGATAACTGAGATTCAGACATCACATCACTGAGTTGCCACTTGGAAAATGCCATCTGTAAAATGGCACTGGCAGTGTGTGGTGATGTTATTTATCTGACTGCTCTTGGTAATACCTGAACACCAGCCTGTGGGGGGACAAAGGTACTGGAGCATGGAATAAAGTGGTTTGTCTGAAGCTGTGTGGTGGGCAGGAGATGTCCCAGTGCCTTTGCTGGTCCTTTGGGCTCTGTGAGGGTGGCTGGGACAGTCAGGGCAGTGCTGGAGTTGTGACCAGGGGGACTCTTGTGACACTGACTGGGGTTTGCATGGAGTGCAAAGGTTGTGTCTGTCCAAACAGCTGGGAAGTGTGTGGCCAAGTGTGGCATGAGCTTCCTGGTCCGTGGCTAGTTTTGTCCTTGGAGCATCCTCCTGGGGCTGCCTGTTCCCAGAGAGGCACCTTGGCCTCAGTCCTGCTGACTGCCTGGCTGTGCCAGGGGGGACAGGACCACTGTGGTTATGGAGTGATGGTGCTGGGCTGGCAGCAGAGCTCATCTTGTGGGCTACACCAAGGTGTAACCTCAGAGGGTGAACAACCCCATCCTGGAGGGGACTGTGGTCCTTGTGCTGCTCCAGTGCAGCCTTGGAGGTGGCTGCAGCATCCTGGGATCTGCCCAGCTGGGTAATGGTGGGCATCAAGCCTGTCCCCAAGTCTGTCCTCACCAGCTGCCTGTGGGTGAGCAGCACGAGGACAGGGACATCCAGGACATCCCACACCCCGTGGTTGTGGGCAGGGAAGCACAGAACAAGCTGTCCCTGAGGAGCAGAGGGCCCGGATGCGAGTCTGCTGAAGTCAGGGGAAAGATTTCAGAGGTTTTTGATGAGAGCCC